TATGCACCCTGATTTTGAGCCTGGGAGGTTCCTTGCTCTGCCCTATCCTCAAGGGTGTTCATCTACTTTGGTATCGTGCTCTGGAGTCAGGACGATGCACTAATGCAGGTTTGATTCTTAACTTTTTCTTTTGTTTTATTTGTATACATATCCCTGAATTTTGTGAGCCGTGATTTAAATGTTGTCGTGTGTGCCATTGTCTCCTATATAATTATTCTATTGAAGCACCGCTGCAACCCAGTTTGTTTATCAAATTGATGCAAGAAACAAACTAATACATAGAGAGTATAAATTTATTGCATTAATTTGTATATCCCTGCACCTACCGATAGGTAGAGATGGATAAATTTTGTAGCTTTTTGATCCCGGTTTTTCCTATTGAAATTATGGATTTGGAAGCTAATCATGGAGTGTTTCGATTGCCTGCTTACGGAATCGCAATAAGCACAAGTCTGCAACCTTGAAGGAAAACCCGTTGCAACTGATGACATAATATTACGTTGCAACAAGAATGTATAAAGCTGCAGAGCTCTGTGGATCCTTCTCTTCCCAAAAGGTGAGGTTTAAAGTTCATGTTTGTGCTTACTGAAAAAAAAGAGACGAGTTGCTTGATATATTGACAGGTATATAGTGTAACAAAAACACGCTTATAGTTCTAACATGAATTTGATTGACTTGGGAGTTGTGACATGCAAGTATTTTATGGTTGATAATTCTGTACTACTTGTTATATTGTATAAAAATAGTCTCTGGTTTCATCTTCTTTGATGACATATTTTCTATAACAATTGAAATGCATTATGCACCTGTTCTTTTTATTGTGGTTCCATATTTTTTTTCAAATTTATATATTCTCTATGAATAGTAACATAGATGCATGTTCTTAATCTATTTTAGATTTTTGTTCACCCGAAAATGCAGTATAGATCTGCCATTGACATTTTTTTGAAGCACTGGGTGAACATTCGCCGAGATGCTGATAGGAAAAGCCTTTTTGTTTCCTCATAAAATGTTGCCCATCAGTTATTAAACTTAATGGATGCATGTTGTGGGCTTGATGACCATGTACACCTTTTTTTAGTTAGAACTGTGTCTGCTATGGATCTATCTTGCTTAATACTCCCTCCGTCCGGAAATACTTGTCAGAGGAATGAATGTATCTAGATGTATTTTAGTTTTAGATACATCCATTTTTATCTATTTCTCCGACGAGTAATTCTCGACGGAGGGAGTACAAAGAACTCTTCATGCTTAGGAAACAAGAGGTAGTGTAAACAATAGATTCTCTTGTGAAATTGCGATTCAGGCGAGAAGCGGAGGCGTGTGCCTAGAGTAGCGGACCATGATGGATTGATGAGCTGATGTCACGTGACGTACTCACGTGGCGGTTGTTTAGGCTCCGGCGGCTGGAGCCATCATCGACCATGATGCCGCGCCAGGAGCACAAGGGCTAAGACGAGGACATGTTGGTGCCGATGAAATAAGGTTTATTGGGTCGTCCTCCTCCAGCAACATATTACACAATCTATTTAAGCCGATTGATTCTCTTTGGTACAAATGTCCCTCATTTAGTTGATGAAACTCTACCTTCATAAAATTAATTGAGTTGGGAACCATAACATATATACATCTATGACTGGTATCTATTTGGCTATATTAAACTGACAATTTATTCTTCTTACCGGAAGGATATGTCGTGAAGATGATTAATTCTACAAACTATACTGCTAATTCATCGGAAATGACTACCAACTTGTTTAATTCCGCATGTGCAGGTGCTGCCGGTTGATGGGGGCCTAACCATGAGTCTAACTGAAAGTGAACGGGAGCGACGTGCAGAAAAAAATCTTAGCATATAGGCTGAATTTGTATAGTACTTCGAATTTATTAGGCAGTACCCCCTCCATTTGTATATCACTTTCGAATACAAGTTCAGGTTATTAGGCAGTACTATTGAATTTAAGGATTGATACTTGAAGATTTCAAAAGGTTACTAAATTTTGTACCAAGTCTACTGTTATGTATGGGAAGAACATGCGCTAAAATATTGATAATGCAAATGAAAGTGATCGTTTGATTATTAAATCATGCCACTAATAAGATAATTTCTTGTCACTTATTTATTCACAAATTTACATTGTTCAGGTTCGGACTTGATTTGTTGAGCTATTTTAATTTATGTATGTGAGAAATGAAATACTTTATGAGTTGTATGTCGAAACTTTGATCAGTTCGTTGTGGAATAATGCCGGTGATTTGAATTCTTAACTAATTTATGATATGCTTCCCTTTTGGGGGCTCTCATTTGGTTTTATGTGATTTTTTCTTACCAGATAGAAGATACTTAATGTTGGCATCCCAGAGTTTTACTTACTAGATATAAATAGAAACGAGACTTATTTATTGAGAATTTTATCTGTAGTGTGTCAGTGCCCTCATAATTCTCACATGAAACCTTGAAGAAAAGCATAATGAATGATATAAAAATGTTGGTGTCATGGAAAAAATATAAAGTCGAGGGTACAAAAGTATTAGGATCTCCATGCCGGCGGATGTAGTGGGTTGCACTGATTGCAGTTACTTCTTTGCCGTTATTTGTTGTTACTGCCATAGTTCATTTTTCGTGCTTATCATACCTCATGAATACACTTGAGTGAAATTGGGGATAGTATATATGCATTCTTCCAGAGTTTCAAGAAGGATAGCAGAGAAATATTTCTTGGGGCTGTGACATAGCCGTGTGGTACTTCTACATCTGCAATGTTTATAGTTCATGTACTTACAGCTTAATGCAAGCATTGAGATTAGTTACAGATTTCCTTTGATTTAAATTTCTAAATGTTAACAACAATGACAACTTGTGACATGCCTAAGTTTAATTTCCATTGAGAGAGAGTGGGCGATGGATTATGAGATGGAACAAAATTAAAATCCAACTGATCTGGCCATGGCTGGTTGTCACAGAATCCTTGTGATATGTTCTACTTTGACTTGGAATGTGCGGCTATGATAATGTAAGTGATGAGTTTTTTCCCGAATCTTCTATGGGAGGTCGGTCAGAGGTGAGTTGTAGACCAAGAGTTGGTGGGCAGCAGGGCATGCACGCGCACGAAGAACAAATCTGAACCACGCCCCTGCTTCTATTGGTTTCTAAATAGAGCGTCTAGCTTAGAACTTAGACCAGTTGGTCGCTGTCAAGGTCGCCAAGGTGCTCTTACAGCACCGCCGTGGGGATTTCTCGTGATTTTATGTAGGCAAGCCGCAAGCGGTGGTGGTGATTTGCTGGGTGGTCTTGCTGCTTTGGGGAGAGACGATGGTCCTGTTGTGGGGATATCCAACGGCAATACATTGACTACAGACTCATCGCGGACTCGTAGTGAACCTGGATGCAGTGAGCCTGATTCGTGGATCGATGGCAGGTCTTGACGTTGTTAGAGTTTGGATTGAATGGTTGTGGGGGTGGTGTGCTTGGTTGGGTTCCCATGGAAGAATGTGGCCTCCCGTGGATCTCGTCGTGGCCATCACAGAGGACATTGTTGCCCTTCCCCGAGGAGCAAGGATAGTGCAGGCGGCAGCAGGGGTTAGGGGTAGATGCGGGGAGGGATGTCGGCATTTGCTCGAGGTCATCGTGATGAAAGCCTTGATGACCCGTCTTTATCAATGGAGGTGGAAGAGGATGAAGTCGAGATTGGATAGGAGTTTGAGTTCTTGTTGGCCCCGGATGGTTCCCACTTTAGGCTCCGTTCGGTTTGCAGAGAGAGAGAGAACTAAGGAAAGAAAAACTTTGTAGGGATATGCCTGATGGCTACCAGATTGCCATGGAGTCTAGAAACACGGGAACCAAAAAAAATTAGACTGTTCGTGTTGCAGGAAGATACGCCTATGAAGCAGTACATGACCACAATATTTTATGTCTTTCTGAGTGGAGTACAATGCATGCATGAAGTTTTCTATTGAACTGGTCACCGGCTCGCCTCGGGCTTTCGTCAAAACATGAGATCCGACTGGATTCTATCTTTCAAGCAAAATTAATACGAGAAGGCCTTGTTTCATTTGAAGTATTCTTCATGCTTCCTGTGAACCGAACACCACCAAGGCAAAATTTCCTATGGACGACAGTTCCTTTAAAAGTCCTACATATTTCCTATGAACCAAACACCCTTAGGGATGTATTTTTTCACGTGCCAGGTTGATTCTAAAATGGATAGGGGCTTTTCCGCAGAAGTGCATGCCGAACAAAAAATATGACCTCCCTTTATTAGTAGGATAAATGTCATATTCTTTGTTATTGTTGGTTCGGTGAAATTTCCTAATACTTAATTGCTGCGCTGCTAATTAGAGCATCCAAGATTCACCCAAGATGAGAGGATGATAAATGAAAGATACTGATATAAATTTTGAAGAGCCCGTGGCAACGCACGGGCGTTCTACTAGTTACAAATATAAATGGAAGGTATTTAGGAAAACGATGATCAATTTTTTTCTTTTTCTGAATTATAGTGGTCAGTGTTTCAACTTGAGTTTATAATAGTCGGGCTTGCCGATTTCGCTTTAAAACAGATGCATGTCCGGTGTGCTTACCATAATCGATGAGGCAATTCAAAACAATAAGGTGTGCATCAAACTCGTTTTCTTGCGATAGCCACGTCGGCATGGTACTGTCCAGGTAAACCGAGAGCGAGAGATATTTGCGGGGTAAATCGAGAGTGAGTCTGCTGCCCAATCACGTCGTGTGCTGCGCGGACAGCTGGAGGCTGGTGGTTGATTCTGCGCGTGCCGGGTGGGCGATTTCATTGGGTGCTGGTGGGACCTTCCTCTGTCTCGTCCTGGCGTTGTGGGCGTCGATTACGGGGATTACGGGGCTTGCGTACGTCCCGCCGGATCAGAGGCGTGCGGGCTCCGTGGTGGGCGTCTCCGGCAGCGACGGCGACCTGCAGCTACGGCGGGGGCGCTCGATTTAGTGCAGCGCCATGGACCGGTCCCTGCAGAAGTGAGAGAAGATGAGGGAGAGAGAGAAGGAAGGAGAGGAGCATCGATGGTGGTTCGAGCACTGCCGCCTCCATCCTCGCACCATCTTCGTCACACGCAGCCGCCTCCTTCCGCACCCCTCTTCTTCGCGCACGGCAACAGAGGCAAGTCCTGTCAGGTGAGATCACACCGTCCTCCACAACCTTCTCTACAGCCACGCAAAAACAGAGAGGAGTCTGATTCGTGCGTGTTATTGTTATTTTGGCTGTCTAAATTGTCCCTTGAACTAATCCAGCAACCTGATATTTCTTGGACACTAAATAATATCATTCTTATGACAGGGAATAATATTATTCAGTTAGCATCTTTTTCGTGGAAGAGGAGTGAGAATTTAAAGGTTAGAAAATTGTAACTGAATGAGTGTTCTCTTTTTTCTGCCTCTGACTTGAACGAATATATTTCTTAATATATCAATGTTCATCATTGCCATGTCTGGCTCTCAGGTGCATGCTACATAGAAGCTTAGATCTGTAATCAAGTTGTGGAAGAGAATACTGTAAGAGATACTTCTATAAGTAGAGGTATGTGCCTGCATTTACACGTTAATTATCCCTTAGTTAGTTCTCTATGGATCGTTTGATTCATGTTGAAATGATTTTCTTTAGTCGGTGTTTGTACTATGTTGATGGTATACTGATTTGGCGTAAGAATTACTGACATTGCTTTGTGTGTACAAATCTTACAGGTTTATGATATTAAGAATTAGCAGTGTGTTTTTGTTTACTGCTGGATTTGCTAACAAACTGTCTCTTATGTTGTTGATTGATATGCAGACTTGTTGTTTTTCATTCAGTTGAAGAGCTCTCCATGCTTAAGATCTTTTCTAGGATAATTGGGTCGTTAAATATGAAGGTATATGATTGGTTTCTCTACTCATGTATCGATAAGCATATTTTTCATCCTCAATATATTGTTGCTTGCCTAACTTCTTCCTACATTTGTGAGGTGGCCGTGGAAGTTCAGTTCTTGTAGGCGGCATAAAACTTGTACTGCCTACAGATGATTTTGCCAGTTTGACGAAAACATATAATAACCAGGGGAACTTTCTCAGTTTTTTTGTTTTTGCACTTCTCGGATTTTAGGCTGGGGGTATTAACATATATGGCACATAGAAAATTTAGATCTGCAAGATTGGATAGGGATAAATCCTTCTGCCATGTTGAAAAATTAGATTTACAAAGAAGAAAAGAAATTATTAAAGAAGAGATATAGTCGATTAGGTTGTTGTGGTGTTTCTTTGATCTTCCCTAGACCTCTCGTTTTCTGATTGGCATGGTGATGATCTGATTCTTATGGTGTTTGTCTAGTTCAGGATTCGCTCATGTGCCAAAGCCAGCTCGGGGAAGCCTTCCTGGACTCCTGGTTGACCACGACAATCACGACACGGTGAGTGGATTTTGAATCTTTCTTGAGCCGTCGGATCGGATTAGATGTGTATATGGTAGTTATGGACTGCTAACTGCTTAATGTTGTGTTTCCTCTGTGTACTATGGTGTGAGCTTAAGCGAGCGGAACGCCGAAGGAGGATCTTGGGGATGACGGAGGCATCGACGACAACCTCAAAGGCGAGAGGTACTGAGACTGCAAATTGCTTTCATGTCTCTGCGTTTCTTTCTTTATGCAACGCCGTCGGTATTAAGGCCGTATAGTCGGTGGGGAGCAACAAAAAACTGAATTTGTTGATGTTTACAATTTGGACGATCTGTTTGATACATCTGCATTGGTGATGGCGAACATTGTTCAAGACAGTGTGGGTTCAGAAGTGAGGAAAACAATTTGGCTTGCAGGGTTCAGGATACTCTCTTGTGACGTTGGCTTAGGAAAAGTTATTCGGCTCCATTTACGATTGGTTCATTTCACCGTGCTCTAGCCCCGCATAGTCCCCTCCTCCTTGGTTGCCGCTCTCGTCCTCTGACGAAGGACCATGGGGCTTGCAGCTGTGCCTGAGCCCCCACAAGGACGTTGGGTGGAGGATATCCGGTGCCAACGGGCCGCTCATGTAGGTGTCCGAGATATCGGAGCTGTCGGAGTCAACGGTCATCGTCCGGAGACGGGTCGATGGGGGATGCTATGATGAATTGGGTACATCCAAACTTCTCCTGTGATATCTTTATTTTCTTTTTCGGTTTAAGGTAGTGAAGCCTCAGTTAATTTGCAAGTGTGCTATGTTCTTGTTTGTTGCTGGCCTCTACCTGTTTGTTGGTATGCGTTTGCAAACTGAAAATGTTTGTATTTTTCAGGTCTCTGTTAGAGGAATGTATTTTCTTGCAAACTAAATTTGTTTTCTGGAACATGTCTTCATATTTTAGATTTTAGTATATGGCTTCAGAACTATTCATTGGATATACTTTGTTGATTCCAGCCCGTGGATAAGAATATTTTAGTCACTGGAGAGATTGTTGAACATGTGACATTGATGCAAATCTCTGGCCACCTACTGGTGAAAACTGCTTGAAGACCAAGTTTGAATATGTACGAGGGCAGTGAATTTCGGCATGCGAGTTTACTTGCAGTCTCTGACCCTAATGTAATCAGTCCCAGTAGTGAGGGAAAGGCACTGCCAACGAGGATGTGGAGGAGAACAAGGTCGAGCCGGATTGGTGAAGGGTGTTGAGGCTGGCTCTCTCTCCTCCTCGTCTTCGACAGTGTGAAGAAGATCGATGTTGAAATGGACGCATGCTGCAGGAGAAGTAGAGGCGTCTTGTGAGCCTTGGGTTCTTCATCGGTCTGTTTGTGCGTGCTCTTGGTCGCATGCACGCCTAAGGTACAACTTGTCTCTCAATCTCTCCTCCCTGTTATGGATCCAACATGAGGAAAAACCACTCTTTTTTTATTGTTGTTGCTTCTATTTACCTTCCAGTTCATGGTTGTTAGTGTATGGATGCCAGACCAAATAAAAAGAGATCTCAACTCAGTTTCTTTAGATGAAGGTTCATCTCGTGTATCATGAAGAAACATCAACACTAAAGAGAGCACAGCTATTATCTCGACAATAGAAGCTAGAGAAATTAATCGATGAGCATTTTCATGCATATTATTTAATCTAATTTTTAGTTATGCTAATTTAGTAACAGTACTATTTATATTACTGATTTGGAGATATATGCAATACATCTTTCAGCAATCAACTGTTCACCGACATAACGTGAACACTAAGAGAGCAGAGCTATTATCTCAACAATTGAGCTAGAGAAATTAATCTATGAGCATTTTCATGCATATGATTTAATCTAATTTTTAGTTGTGCTAATTTAATTGATTTGGAGATATATGCAATATACATCTTTCAGCAATCAACTGTTCACCGACCTGTCTATTGTATGCATTAATTGGATTAATTAACGACAAATGCATGATTTATTGAAGTCAAGTTACTAAATATTCATGATGGTATCTTTTTCCCTGAACTTCTTATCCATGATCAACTGAGAGTCGAATACTTAAGTGGTTGAGGAAAGCTTCAAATACAACAGTGGCAAACATCTCCATTGATGCTACAAAGCATCTCGATGATTTTGAAGTGAGTCTGCATGTTAATTAACATTACTTCTTGCATCACACCCTATTGATCTAAAAGTTACTTAGTTTTCTGAATTTCATAGGATGCTTATGATATAAAAAACTATGCCCTTACCTTTATAGACTGCTATAAATTTGATTCTGCAGTTTTTGCTTGCATCATGTTTTTGTGCTTTATTAGGCACTTTATGTTGCACTATTCTATATTAGACAGATCAGGTTATTTTTTCAGTGATCAGGTTACTTACTGCTTATCATCGTCTATATGACCATAACCTACTTTTGTGCAGGATCGATGGATGGGAGGTGGGACACGATTTTGTAAGTACAGACAAAAAATGCAGTATGCTTGATTTTCTTATTATTGTACCTTTTCTTTTTCTGTTCAGGTGGATCCTGAATACATTCCACTTTTTCTGCTATCTTCTGCGGTATATTTTGTTGCGAAGGTTGAAAACATAATATTGATAGAAATAATTTCCATTTGTTTGCCATGAACCTTCTGCACTAGAGGAATGCTTGAATTAGATCATCAAAGTTAATTGCTATTTTATCAGTATCTGCATGTTAAATGTGTCTATAGTGATTGAACAACTCTCATTAATAGATGAAGCCGTCGAGCAGAAGGCATTTTTTTACTTAGTTATAATTATGGATTATGTAATGGCTGCGCTCGACGAGATCCTCCCCAACCTAACCCCTCCTTCTTCCATTTCTATATGATGCAGGTGTGGACACCTCTGTATGCTCCAAGACTTAACTCTGTTGATTTATGGCATGGTGATTGGTGATTGATTTCGATTGCACGGGAATTCTGGGGAGAGCAATGGAAAAGCTATGGGGAACTTGTGTGTTAACGACGCTAGCAGTGAGGGTTTCTTTTGAGCTTCTCTTCGCTTCTCCTTAATTATCGGACCTTCCTGCTATGCTTAGTGAATTTCGATATTTTGATGATGCAAGCATTGTTGTTTCTAGTGGCTGCAAGGATTTCCTTTGGGCACATTTTCTTCTAGCTTAATTAGTCAGGATCGTTGATTTTATAAACAATATTCAGACTGTTCCTTGTATTAGCAAAAATCAGATAAGAATTGAATTATTGTACTTAAAGACAACCTGAATGTCTTGTGCCACGCAAAAGAGATGCTCTGCATTTCCTTTCACCTCCTGTTTGGCCAAAGCAACTACCTATTGTGGCCTTTTGATGCTGTACTGGTTGTGCAAAGAGTTGTTGTCACAGGCTGATCAAAGTGGGAACAGAGCCAGAAAGCCGTTGAGGCACCACCTACCGTGGAGCAGACAATCTTGGAGTCGCCGCAGACAAGTGTACACTAGTGCAGAACCGGGCAATAGCACCGGTTCGTAAGGCGCTTTAGTGTTGGTTCGGTAACCGGCACAAAATTGTAGGCACTAAAGCCCCCCCCCCCCTTAGTACCGGTTCAGCACGAACCGATGCTGAAGGGCAACCACGTGGCACGAGCCAGCTCCGTGGGTGCGTAGGACATTAGTACCGGTTGGTAACATCAACCGGTACTAAATGTTTGGGTGTGTTTTGGTTTTATTTTTTATTTTTACTTAATTTTGTGTTTTCAATTTAATTTAGTGATTGTTTTACATTATAATGAGTTGTTAAATCATTAGGTGATTAGTTTGACTGGATGCGTGGATCCTAGCTAAGTCATCAAGTATATGTCATATCAATATTATATATACTTGATCACCTACTTAAGTGATCGAGGTAACATGGATATGGCATATACTTGATCACTTAGCTAGAATCCATCCAGTTGAAACTAATATGCAATTTCTTTCAAAAATGATATAATAAGTCATCATCATCATCATCATCATCATCATATTAATTAATATAAAAACTCTTGCATCATATATATCATCACCAATGGTTTTCATAGCAAAGATATCATCAAGTTCAACATGGTAATGATATTATAAGCGTTCATAACACCACAAAAGCAAATCACTCTTTGAGATTAAGTTCAGGACGAAGAACACGGACATGAGAGGACAAGTACTAAGAGCATGAACTAGCTAATTAATCACTCCTGCTGCTCTCTCTCAGGTAAAATAGCATAGAACATGTATAGCTTTGCTGATTCATCATATTGGAGCATGCAGATGAACCTGTCTCCTAATCGTGGGTTGCGCTTCCGATTGCTGCCCCCTAGTACTTCTCTGTGATCGTTCACAATTTTGCTCCAGTCTTTTACTATTAAGCATTCCTCGCTATTAGAAATCCTGAATGCACTAAAGTGCATTGTAGGATATCTTGGCCGTAAGCTAACAATATTCATGGTACCTTTAGTCACGATCCAATCAGGCACAACATTCATCGGGAGTCCCTGTTGAAGAACATCGTATAGTAACATACTTAGCAATGAAGTTTAGCTTAAAAAAATAATGTATGCAAAAGGTGCACTAAGGAGAAATAGTAGAAATCTTACCATCTTTCCTAAATATATGTGACCGTAGTTCAGTACGAACACTATTGGTCGCACGTTTTGAGTACTAACATTTCTAAGTGCAGGAAAGAAATTTGTCTTGACAGCATCAGGATCCTCAAGCCATGAAACATAATGACTTGTCTCCTCGCAGTTTAGTTCCGCCCCGGGACAGTGGACGGTCCTGTCTACCAAGCGCTGGACATGTTTGCTTGATTAGAAGTAAGCTGTCAATATAAATTGAGATCTATTAATTATTCAACTGATTCAAATAATCTCATATCAAAGACATAAATATTGTTAAGAAACTCACATAATGGTAGAATTGGAGGCGTCTGCACATCGACCTAGATGTCTCTATTACCTTCAATATCATCTTCCGGACGAATATCAAAGGTGATAACCATATCAGGCT